AGAGCACAAGCAGGGGGAGCAGCAGAGGGAGAAGGAGAAGCAGGCTCTCCGCTGAGTGTGGAGCCCAGTATGGGGGACCCTGGGGTCATGACCTGAGCTGAAGGCAGACACTTACCCGACTGAGCCACCCAGGCACCCCTCTCTTTACTATTTTTTAACATTTAATGAAAGTCGCACATGGCCATGGATAAAGTTTAAATAATGCAGTAAGGGCTTGCTTATATTACAAAAAAGCAGCAATTACAATACTTTTTGAAAATGCTTTGTTTCTGAAGTAGCCTGTATCTGTTTCTCCTAGTATGTGTTCCCCCACCCCCTTCCAATTTTATTGAACATAGAATTTAGGAGTCAGAGGTCTTAGAAGTCTGGGCCATCTTCTAGAATAGCAGTTATCAGAAAGTATGGTTGGTTCCCTGGCCAGCGGTGTGTGGCGATGTGCAGGAACTACTCATTCTTGGGCCCCACTCCAAACACAGAACCGGAATCTCTGCAGGTGGAGCCTTGGCACCTGTATTACAGTAGCAGGCCTTCCCGGTGATTCCAAAGCATGGCCGATTTTGAGAACTGACGATTCCGAACGTAGTAAAAGAACACAGACTCTAAAGTCAGATCGGGTTCAAGTCGCAATTCCGCAGATCTCTGAGCTTGTGCATCTTATTTTGCCTCTTAGTCTCTGCATTCCCATCTGTAAAATGGGGTTAGTAATAACCTCTCCGAAGAGGCTGTTGTGAGAACTAATGTAAAAATGCGTCATAAGCACTTGTCATTATGTGTCTCTCGTGTGGTAAACGTTCCGTAAGTATTTACGATGGTGGTTGTTAGTGATCTTCCTAAACCAGGTATTAATATTTTTAAACAGCAACCCTTGACAAATGGCTGTCCGGTGAAGGGGGGAGTTGAGAAGATCTGGCCGATGCCAACGAGTGACAGTGGTAGCTACTGATCATTCACATAGTGAGAGAACACTTCCCTTCCTGCAGTTTCCTTTCTTAGTCTCGGCTCTGTTCTCTAGAGCCGCTGGAACGAGACTGTTCTACATGGCAGTTGTTCAGGTATTTGAAGAGAGTGACCTTGGCCTTGCTGAACTTTTCTCTTGTTCTATTCCCAAAGATTAACTTTAACACAGAAGATTTTGAAGGGCTTTTTCAGATAGGGCTTTTGAAAAAAGGAAAGGAAAAAAAAAAGGCCTAGAGCCGAGGCTCTGCTTTGGTAGTGGGTCTTTGGAGATTTCTGGTGTGTAGAGATGCCTCAGGGTTGAGGCTGAAGCTTCTCAAGTGGACTTGTGGGCCTGGGATGGACGTGCAGTCGGGGGGCAGGGGCGCTGCTGGGAGGCGGGAGCCAGAGTCGGCGCCGGAGTGTGCGTCTGTGTGGGTCCTGGGATGCACAGCCCTTGGAGGCCAGGCTGGCCCTGTCCGGCACCCTCGCTCTCAGCTGTGTTGTTGCCCTCTGCCCTGCTGCAGTAGCAGCCTTCGTGGTGTTTGCAGTGGGCTGTAAGGTTTTGTTTTTATTTAATTGATGTCTGATTAGTAGCTGTGAGAAATGGTACTGGCCTAGCAAATGATACCTTTCCTGAATTAGGCCGCGGTGTTGTGTAGGGCAGCAGCAGAATGGCTATTTTAAAATGGGATTTCGTAAAATAAACATGTGTCCGGATTACAGGAAATACTAAGTTGATGATTAATTGATGCCGTGGAGCTGGCCTTGCGCTTTTAAATGCTTCTACTCTCGTGATCATCCATCTAGTGAGGTTTCAGCGGGCCCACGCCTCGGATCATTTCCAGAGAGCTGATTTGCAGCTTGTTTTCTGCCCTCTGGTGCTGCTGGGGCAGGTGGCCACGAGGAGACCATGCAGAGGACTCCTCTCCAAGCTGCAGGTCAGAGTTGCCAAAGGATGGCGAATGTTCATGAAAGGAGGTTGTCAGGGTCTTTCTTCTGCTGTTCACACAGGGTCTCTCCACACTGGGGCTCCGGCGCTGCGGCCATTGCTACATTCTCGAGGACTTCTTAAGCTCCTGCCATTTGTACCTTTGTTGTCTTAGTGCCGGAGGGGACTGATACTCAGATAAGGAAGGCTATGTAGAAAATAGGTGTATTTCCAGCCTAGGGGGTGAAGCCTTGTGCCCGCTGACACATACCCGGGACTTGTCGAAATGGGGATGATTTTGTGTGTTAAGTGTATGATACATGTTACCTGGGATGTGAAAAAGTAGGAAATTTAAGTATGTCTGAGACAGTTTGGGAAAGTCACTGTGAAGAGAGACCATCGTAAAACTACTAGGTCCATCCCTGACCTCTGACCTTTGGGCATTGAGAGCAGCAGCAGATGTGCCATCTCAAAAGCACCCCAGGATGCTGAGGACCCGTGGGCTTCACCCAAGCCTGGCATTTCTTCTGGGGGAAGCCTGTGGCCCGGACCCCAACCTGTTGGCTAGATGTCAGACATGTTCCGGAACAGCACTGAGGCACAAGAGCGGCAGAGGCCCTGGACTTAGACTTTAACATCCTTGCGGTTTGGGGCAAGGGTTTCACCTTTCGGATCCTCGCTTTTCTCACCCATGTCCTCTCCTGTAGCTCCTCCCAAATGGGGCTGAGGCTTCAATAAGTGAGTGGTAGGTGGATGTGGGAAAGCACCTAGCTCAGTGCACAGCATAGAGACACTCAGGAAATGTGGATTCCGAAGGGGGGCGGGGCGCGGGGTGCATCCGGGGCCTCAGGTCTGGCAAGGGTATGCACTTCTCCCTCCCTCCAAATGCAGTGAGGGCAGCTCCTTTGTAGCTAGGCATTGCACAGTAAGATGTCCTTCCTTGGGGCTGGCCTCTTAACCCCCTTTTCTCGGGGGTGAAAGGCCCATGTGCAATTAACAGCTTTTAAGCCAGAGAATTGACGACTTTGGCTTCAATGTTCTTTAAAGGTTCACCTGCCACTATTCTGGGGCCCCAGAAATAGGCCGACTGCTTTGATCTTGCCTGATGGGTGCCTCTCCAGAGGCGCTAATCAAAGTGATAACTGATGTTGAGACACTTGGCTCTCTGGAGCTTACTGATCGCCTTTCGGCCCAGTCCTCTTTCCGCTGCCCACACTGCCTTCTGGTGTTTGGTGTTGGCTCCAGGGCATGCCCTCAGTGCCCTTTCAGCTAAGCAGAGTTGCTTGAAACCACAGTCTTCAGAAGGGGCCACGGTTGGTTTAGCCATGAGATCCCACTCCGGTCTTCACTGTGACTTCATCATCCTTTAGAACTGTGATCTTAGGGGTGCAACAGTGGGCTTTCCTTCCCTGAGACAGGGAGAAGAGGAGCATCAGTAGCCAGTGACTGGAATCCACTCCAGGCTGAGCAGTGCTTCCTGGGGTGAGGGGTTAAGGGGGGGTGTCAGTCTCTCACCTGATACTTTATATTCTTCTGTATTACTTAACTAAATTTTAGTATTTCTTTTAAGTATTGTTTTTTTCCTTAGCTGACACTGTATACTAAATCAGTTACAGAAGGATCACAGAGCTGAAGGGGGGGAAGGGTAATAAAAGAACAAGAAAGAAGAAATAGGATCAGCTCTAAGAATAGGAAAATCTGTTCAAAGATAAAAACAAAGGGAGACATCTAAAGAAACTGGTCTTAAAAACCTAAAATTTTTAAATTATGTACTTCAAAAAATTCAATATACAAAATTAGAAGACAGATAACAAAAAGGAACAAAATGTAAACGTATGTAATGCTAACATAGTTCCTTACTATTCAGAGGCCTCTTTCAAGAACACAATGAGAGGGACCACTCATAGGGAAATGAACAAGAATGACAAGAACGGGAATAGGAAATTCACAAAGTAAGAAACACACACTGCCAAGAATCTGTTAAACTTACTAGCTATCCAGAAAACATAAGAAACATAATTGTGGGGTATTTTAAAAGGGAAAACCTAAATGATTAACAATAAGACTATTTTAAAAGTTATTGTATACTTTGATGTCTTTAAAAAGAAGAATATTTAATGATTAGAATAAGCTCACAACATAACGTTGTAAATGAAAAGCGTGGGTTAAAACACGGTATTGTCTCCATTTTTCTAAAAAACATTAAAATTCAAGGGGTGCCTGGCTGGCTCAGTGGTAGAACATGTGACTCTTGATCTTGGGTTCGTGAGTTCAAGCCCCACGTTGGAGCTACTTAAAAAAAATAAAATTCAAAAGAGTACCTCAAAATATGGACAAAAATTAGCTGAGGCACTTACACATTATTTTAATATTTACAAAAAAGTGTTGTTGTTTTTTTTTAAGATTTTATTTATTTATTTGAGAGAGAGAGAATGAGAGAGAGCAAGCACATGAGAGGGGGGAGGGTCAGAGGGAGAAGCAGACTCCCTGCCGAGCAGGGAGCCCGATGCGGGACTCGATCCAGGGACTCCAGGATCATGACCTGAGCCAAAGGCAGCCGCTCAACCAACTGAGCCACCCAGGTGCCCTACAAAAAAGTATTTTTAAATATTGAAGTGAAGAAGAAAATGGGGGGTGAGTGGGTTGTATGTAGCACATAGGAAAGTCCAGAATGCTTCACCCTATTCCTCTGGTGGGTGCCTTGTTGCTCAAGTCCAGTCCTCCTCGTTCTCTGCTCTGCACTCCCTGCTCCTAAGAAACCTGCTTTTTTCTCCTCAGGACTGAGCACTGAAGGCATCTACCGGGTCAGCGGGAATAAGTCTGAGATGGAGAGTCTGCAGCGACAGTTCGACCAAGGTAAGGCCACCCAGCCTGGCCAAGCATGGAGCCGGTCAAGGCAGACGGGACAGCCAGGCTTGGTGACTGAGAAAGAGAAAGTATTTGGCCCTACTTAGCCTTGCCTCCGTGTGCACACTGCCATGTGGAGGAGGGGGGAACAGGCCCTATCAGCAAACAGAAGCATCATCCCTGTCAAACCCACGTCAGCCATCTGCCCCCCTTGTCACCATCCACTGATGCTGTTCCAGGTCACCCCGGCATGCGCCTCGGTCACCTCTGGGGGCCTTACTTTCCTTGCGGTAGGCCCGACAAGGGTGGTTGCAGGCACATAATATGAAGTGGGGTTGTGGTCATGGTCCTATTTTGCCAGGGCCCAGGAATACACATGACTCCCCTCCTCGCCAAATCCCTGCACAAGAGAGACAATGCGAGGGAACATTTATGATCAGCTGAGCATTGGGACCCAGGCTTCCAAAGCTGAAATCTCGTGAGTTAGACTGGCTCTTGGCAGGGACTCCTGTCTCCTAAGTTAGGTCGTCAGAGGCCTAGGGCCAGAGAGCCAAACTCTCAGCCCTAAAACCGAGCACACTATGGGATGAGAAGTCACACCACTGGTGCCAGAAGCAAACGAGCCAAAGCAATAAAAGTTCTCAGATGTTACCAGCCAGAGAGGAAAGTAAGCTGAGGATCAGAGTAGGGTCCAACTCAGCGTGTGGCTGGGCCTGAGGGGACCAAGCCAGACTCTCAAGCCAGGCAGCCCATGGGGCCTACAGGACAGAGCAGCCAGGAGCAGGCACCCTACCCGCAGGCTCCCGGGGAGCCATAGCACTGTGCGATGCGACGGCCAGTCTCTGCTAGCTGGCAGTGGGGGGAGAGCATACACTAGGGAAGGGAAACACCTGTTTGTCTTGCAGGATAGGAAGCATGAGGTCAAAGTGAGGGTGTAGCCGCACAGTTGGGTATGTACTTGGGTATATTCAAGAATCTGTTAACAGTTTATACCCCACCAAAATGGAATCAGCTTATGTCTAACAGTAGATGATTTCTTGTAAATCAGGAGTGCAGTATTCAAAGAAAAGTGAAGACGCAGAGGTCAGTGGTGTCATAGGCTGGGAGGGGCCAGAGGGAGAAAGATGAGTCTACTCCCCCTGCCGCTTTAAGGAACAAGGATGGAGGCAGCAGTCAGGATTGCTGGTAATGTGCTGTAACCCACCATGAAAAGTGAGCCAACCTTTTAGGAAAGTCCTTTGTTTTTTTTCCAGAGGGGAGGGTATAAGGAAAAGGTAGCACCACGTCCCAGCCAGACAAGGGGAGTTGGGTGGCACAGAATGACAGGGTGCAGTTACTCTGTTCAAAGGATGACCTTGGAAGGAGGCATGGGGTGTCAGCCTCTGTCTGCAGATCTCACAATTTTTTTTTTTTTTAGCAGTGCCCAGGGATGCCACCTCTTGTTCCGTCCATGAAAATCCCGAGTCCCTGCCCTGGCTCCAGGCCAGCCCTGGGCAGCATCCCAGGGTCTTCGAGGCTTCTCTGACTTCCCCCAAGCACTGAGTTTCCCTTTTGCTTGTCTCCAGCTTATATTGCCCTCATTCTCCCAACTTCCTTTCAGACCACAACCTGGACTTGGCAGAGAAAGACTTTACAGTGAATACCGTGGCTGGTGCCATGAAGAGCTTTTTCTCAGAGCTGCCAGACCCCCTGGTCCCGTACAACATGCAGATTGATCTGGTGGAGGCTCACAGTGAGTACTGGCAACCCGTCCCGGCTCCCGGGTGCAGGCAGCACCCCAGGCTGACTGTGTTGGGTGAACTGAGGGGGAGGGGCTGCAGCATCATGAGAATGGCTCCTGTGCTGAGGGAGCAGCCACTCTGGCTCTTAGAGCTGGGGCTGGAACGACAGAGGGGCTTGCAGATCAGGCCCCTGCCTCTGTAGACCAGAGGGGCTTTTCTAAGGGTTCTGTCAAGAAAGTTGCAGGTTCCCCCAAAACTCTATGAGTTAAGAGCCTGGATTTGTATCCGACTTGAGTCACATCCCTGCTCCTTTGCTTGTCCACAGTGGAAGCGTGGCCCGCACAGCCTTCCCTGACCCTTGGTTTCCTACGACACTGTCCCTCCTCCTATTTACGGAAGATTAGGAGCGCTCTAGAGGCAGGGCTGCAACAGGCCTTTCTTCTCCCCTCCGCTCACCCATCTCTCTTACAAGGAAGTCCGCGTGTGGTCTGGGCCTCTGGAGGAAAAGGGGCAGCTCGCATTGCCCTGACCAGAGGCTCACTGGGGGCTGCAGCAAGGTAGCACCTCTGGTTTTACTGGCGACCTTTTTGTGCCCTCCTGCCGGCCCCAACAGCTGTTTCCCCCCCGACCTGCCCCTCTCGGGAGGCGCTTGTCCGCACTGTTGGGAGCCTTCCCAGCAGGCAGCCTTTCCGGGACCTGGTGCCGTGCTGCAGCTTCCCACCTTGTGGCACTTTTTCCCTTTTTTAGTCCAAGGCGGTCTTCCTGCCTTGCAAGCCTGGTGGGCCTAGACCCCCAGAAGGAGCCGTTGCTGTGCAGCTGCAGAAGGGAGGGTCTTGGCCAGTGACCAAGGTGGGGGGGGAGGGGAGGGAGCTGTGTGTCCCTTAGACTATAGGACCTTAGTCTCATCTCATCATTGCCCAACTCAAAAGAGGGAGTTTTGAGCCGGCATGATTTACTCACAAGGCTGATGGTGTGGGCAGCAGTTTGGGGGAAAATCACAAATCAGGGTTTTAAGTCTTGGATCACAGGCTCTTAGGGACTTCGGGAAACGGGGGTACCGACAGCAGCCCAGCCGGAACTGTGGAGGCGCCCCTGCCAGAGCCTGGCTGCTGCTGGGATTGCGGGGCCCCCGGAGTCACTTTTCCCTGGTCTGCATTAACCGTGATGCTTGTTTCTGCAGGCTGGGTGCCACCTTTGCCATCCTTTCTCCCCGAGGTCTTGGCAGAGCGAAATCTCTCACGGCCCCTGAACTGCTCCTGAGCTTATCCGAGCCCATCAGGGATGGAGCAGAAGCGCAGAGCTCTGGCTCAGTCATCGGGTTGCCTGGCCTTCTTTCCCAGCAGGAGTCCGGGTTTCTCCAGACGCTGGGTGGGGACGAGTGCAAGCTTCTGCGCCGCACCTGCTGTCCAAAGATAGAGCCCTCCCAGCGGTCCCTCGTCCAGCAGGCTCCAGGCTGGCCCAGATGTGAAACGCATAGGAGCTCTCCATCTGGAGCCAGCTTGCTTTCCACCTAAGCTCGCCTCTGGGCGGAAGTTAGGAAGAAAAGGTGTGGGCTGGTGCTCCGCGCTCCAGGCGGGAGGATTCCTGTCAGCGGTTGTCTTGACTTGGCGCCATCTAGAGGCTCGTAGAGTCCTGGCTTCCGACAGAATCCCATTGTTTCTGCAGGAACTGCTGACATAGCATCTTTTTGTTTTTTTGGAGGGGCATGGGGGGGCAGGGGAGGGAGGTGTTACTGATAGGGAATCAGCTGCCCTTCCTACAGCAGCGTCCCTGGCTTCCACTGCTGAGGAAGGGAGCTTCTTGCTGCTCCTGCAGCCTGGAAAAGGGTGGAGATTTCTGCTTCCTCTTCCCATTGTGTGTTTCCTGTGCCCGCAGCTAGTCAGCTGGAGCTCCTCAGCTGGGGCTCCGTTGTCTTGAACCTGGGGGCGGGCGGAAGGTGGGGGGCGGGGCGGGGAGGATCTTGCTGACTGGGCATCTTCCCAGGCCACTGGGGCTGTGCATGTCCTGGGGTGGGTTTCACTGAGCCAGGGACACCAACCAGGCAGGACCAGCGTTAGTGTTAAGGGACATTATGAAACGAAGATTCTCAAGCCCAAAAGTAGGTATTCTCGGCCTGTCTGGGTTTCCATGGCAACATCAACTTGACCAGCTCTTCCCAGTTAATACCTAAGAGCTGTTGTGTCTGTGTGTGTTCAGGGCTTGGAAATGGTTTCGGATCCCATCACAACAAATATCAAGGTCACCATCAAATTGTTTTTTAGCTCCAGAATTTCACAATATTGAACATTGCTGAACATATGCCCACAAATAGAGATTCTTGTGATTATTCACCAGTTATCTTCCCACCATACTCACGGTGATGTGTGGGTGATTCAGAGGTGAGTAATAGCAGCAGCCGCCACCCATACCGCTTAGGGAGTGGCATGCTGGGGCTTGACCTTCTGTGCACAGACACTGTCCCTGCCCTCCCAGGGTGCGTACTCCACTTACCTGCCAGACAGAACGAAGCCAGCTGAGCTAGAAGTGCGGAAAATGCAGTGAGAGGGACTAGGGTCGAGGGCTTCATGGAAGAGGTGGCGCCTGGGCTGTGGCTTCAAGGAGGACCAGGATTTCAGGAGGCAGAGAAAAGGGCTTTGAGTTGTTCCCTGTTCCGTCTCACCCACACACCTCACCCTGGCCTTGACCACCTATGATCATTTATTCTTGCCCCACGTCTTCTCCTTCTCCTCTCACGACACCCCCAACCCCACCACCACCGATGTGGAATCCAACCAGTCCAGCCAGTCCCCCACAGGCCCCATCCTATGTCTTTTGTGCCAGAAGGGTTCCTAGAGCTAGCTCTGTCTTAGCTCAGAGGTCCTAAGCCTAAGGACCTTTGGCTCCAGGCCCTCATTAGTCCCATAACTGCTTATGAAGCTCCATATGCGCGGTTTAGTCTGCAGAGAAGACCAGTAGCTTTCATCAGCGTGTCAAAGGGATACGTGCCCCAAGTGGTTCAGGATACTGGCTCACCATCTTACCATTCCCCTTGAGAGCTAGGACGCCTTACAGCTAGAGATGAAAACTAATTCTGGGATCCTGCTTCCTCTCATCTGTCGAGATAACTGCGTCAGGTCCCAGGGGTGTTCCTCACTCACATCCTGGCATGTGCCAGGCCCTGTGTGGGACGGGGCAGATGGCATGGACAGATGAGTGTGTAGTCCCTGCTTCATCTGATGGGTTGGGAGGCACAGGACAGGTGACTGCAAGGTCATGCCTCCTGCAGAAAGACACCCAGAATCTTCCAGTCCAGGCCCAACAGAGTGAAATCTCAGCCTCGGACTCGTTTTGCACCTGAGGGAGAGGTGGGGGTGGCATGCCTTGCGTGCCTGCATGCATCACTGAGAGGGTGAGAGGGCCTTGAGCCAGGCTTTTCCTTTTCTGCTGCTGCAGGTGTGCGAGATGGTCAAAGGCCATCAGAGATTTTCCTCCAGGCTCTGAGTTTGGTGGCAGCAAATCCCAGCCTAGAGTCTGATGGCCTGGGCCAAAGGTGGCAGCAGAGTGCCCCAGCCAGGGCAAGAACAGTGTTTGGGATCAAGAACCCTGACAGCAACTTGTGTGACCTTGGATCAGTACTCTTACTTCATGGAGCTACGGTTGGTCTGTGTGCTGTGAGGAGTGTGGTGGGCTAACCTCTAAGCCGTGGCCTCCGCTTCCTCCTGAGTTCTTGGGGCATTTGTTAGTTCTGAATGAGTTCTCAGTCGCCTGGTCTGTGTCTGGATTTTGTCTTGGTTCAGCTGGCCTGAAAGTGCCTCTCAGGAACCTGAGACCGAATTTCACAAGTACGGGGTGTGAGCTGGGGAGGCCCTGGCCCTGCAGAGGTGCCCTCGCCATCCCACCTTTTCCTTCAGAGAGGATCACTGGGGGAGCCCCGCAGCGTGGCAGAAGGCCGGGGACCCAGAGCAGGCATGCTGGACTGGGAGACGGCCTGTGCCCACCCACCCTCCCCCTCACCAGTCTTCTGTCCGTGGCACTGCCTCTTGGTTTTCTCAACCAGCATGTAGGGGGAGCCCCGTGTGGTGAAGGCTGCACAAGGAGCGACTCTGAAGTTGTCCCATTAGCACTCTGGCACTGTCCAGAGGTAAGAAATCACTGGTGTCCTGAGTACCCGAGAGAAGGTTCCTTTGCTTGAGGGAGGAGGCGAGCGAGGTCAAGTCAGCAAGATGGGCCGTGTTTTTCATGAGACAGAGGGAGGGCTGGGCTCTGCACTGAGAGGCTTCTGTTGCTCTCCTTGATGTCCTTCCTCCCTTCTCCTCCTCCTCCCGCCAAACTCAGTGTTCCTCAGCACTTGTGAGCACCTGCACCTCGAAGCCGGCTGGAGAAAGGGAGCGGGGAAGCACAAGGAGAGGGGCCATCTAGGTCCTTGCTGGGCACCTTGCTGCCACGCTACGTGGGGAGGGAGGCTGGCATTCCCAAGGACGGCGCGCGAGTCCCGGTACTCCCACCTCTGCGCGCTCGTCTTCCCAAGGAAAACAGAGGCAGCAGGCATCCTTGTGGCTCAGTGGAGGACAGGCCCCCGTCATTGCCAGCCCCACTTCCTGCCTCTAGCCAGGAGCACGGGTGAGGCCTGCTCTTGGGTGCAGGTGCCCCGGGCGTCAGGTGCCCAGTGAAACACACAGCTGCGTTGGTGGTGCCCCGCGGGCGCCCAGGAGAGACCTGTGCCAAACTCGCGTCTGGGAGAGGGTGTGATGATTCTGTGGGGGGTTCTGAGCCCCGCGCATGCTTCTCGGGTGTCAAGACAGTCACTCCTCCTGATGAGAGCAGTGTACTTGTTTTAAGTAAACTTCGTACTGAAGCTTAACAGGAAAGATTTTTGAAACTCAAAGCCAGAGAGAAAGTGTACTCTTGAGGTTGAACCCTTAAAGCTTGGGTGCAGAGCACTGAGGGTGATAATGGCCCCACACAATTAGTTCCTGTGGCTTTTCAGTCACTTTCTACCAGACAGCTGTTACTGAAACACGATTTTTATCAAGTCGCACGTTGAGTCCAAAGATGCACCGGGTTCCCTGCCCGTGAGCCTGCCGGCAAACGCTCTGGCTCACTCCAGCCCTGCCCGTCTTTGCGGCCTCCCTTTCCACTGCTTCCTGCCCCTCAGACTGCTTCCAGGCGCTGACTGTGTGTCTGCATCTCACCGTGCGGCATCACCGTCATCAGCCCCTCGTACACACAAGGGCTGCACGCTCACAGGTGTCACTCGCCCACACTCACACGGCTGTCCGGTGTCAGAGACAGGATTTGAACCCAGGACCGCGGGGGTTGGGTTTGGGCTCTGACCTGCTGCACGCACAGCCTTTCCCCCCTGCACTTTGCTGTCCCTTCCCGGCGGTGCACACTCCGCCTGTCCTTCTCAGTCTAGCTTGAGCCAGGCTCCTCCTGCGCCTCCCTGGACCATGACCCTGGGGGCACGTCACCTGCTGCAGAGGTTCTTAACCTGGAGGCCAGAGGCTTCCTACGGAACACGATGAGCTTTGGGGAACCCGTGAACCTCCAGAAATTGTAGACAGAGTTGTACCTGGCATGTTTGAGGAGAAGCTCCAGAGCTTACATCCATTGCAAAGGAGTCTGTGCCCCCAAAACAGTCAGGAACCATCATATTTTTTTAGCCATTCACCCACCCCCACAACCCTAAGTGTGGGATAGCTCTTATCTCTTCCTGGATCCGACTGTGGTTTTTCTGGGTCCTAGGTGTCACCTTCAGCTCTTAGAAGTAGTCATAGGGAGGTCTTTCATGCTCAGAGAAATCTGGGCCGGCTCTCCCAGCCAAGGCAAGCCAAGCGTATTCAAGAAAGAGCAGCCGGGACCCCAGGGAGCAAGCACGATGGGCCCCACTCAGGTTCTGCAGCCAGTCAGTGGGGTCTGGTTCCCAAGCTCTGCAGCCTCTCTGGGCCTCACCTTCCTTATCCCTCAGTGGGCTGACAGGCCCCTGCCTCAGAGGACGCCGACGACTAACTGAACCAGGACTGGTGCGGATGAGCACTTGTTCGAGTTAGCTTGTATTCACACTCCCACTGCATTAGGATTCCATGATGGGCAAAGTGTGGGCAGTAATGGGGGAAGGGGGTGCGTAGTCCCTTTGATGAACTGCATGAGAATTCCCCCACTGTTTCCATCAGCTCCTCCAATAGGGAGATGTGTAGAGGGTCCTTGTGTCTCTAGGAAAAGGACAGAGCCCTGGGCTTGTGATAAACTCCCTCCCTAGACAGTCTGTTGGCGTGGGTGGGTGGCAGCGCTCACCCGTCTGGTCAGGAAGCATGCAGGCTTGCTGCATTGGGATGCCTGTCTCCAGGGGCAACCGGTTGAGCAAAGAATGGTGTTCTTTATGGCAGTGTCTCTGTGGATCCTTGCGTCTCGGATAGTGGGGGCCAGGAAGCCCCAGGCACACAGTGCTCCCCTTCACCAAGGGCCTGGGACCCAGAGGTAGGCCTGGCTTTTGGGTTGGTGCCACCGCCACGTGTGCCTGCCTTACGCAGAGGCTTGTGGGGGAAAGACTGGGGTTGACCTTGTCTGAAAGCCCTGGGCTGTGTGTGCCCTGAGGAGGCCCTCAGCCCGCTAGTCTCACCACCTGCCCAGGACCAGTATCTGTCTTGAGCCCGTAACACCCACCAGCCATGGCCACGAAAGTCTTTGGTTTTCTCTTTCCTCAGAAATCAATGACCGGGAGCAGAAGTTACATGCCCTTAAGGAGGTACTCAAGAAATTTCCAAAGGAAAACCATGAAGTCTTCAAATATGTCATCTCTCACCTGAACAAGTATGTTGCAGGGCTTGCTATTTGGTCTTCCCTCCTCCTGAAATTGCCAGTCAGGACCAGCTAGCAGCAGAATGATGGACCGGGCCGTGTTCTCAGCCTGGCGGCCGGGCCCGGCCTCACCTGCCAGGGGCTGCTGGTGCACCTCCTCAGTGGGGGCACATCTGGCTCACCAAGAAGTATCCTGGCCTCCTGGTTCCTCACATTTCCGTCCTGGTTCCATCCGAGAGGCCCAGGCGGCCCCGAGCATGCCCAGAGTCCTCTCCGTGTGTGACAAAACACTGGGCAAGATGGGGATGCTGTGAAGAAACTTGAACCTGTCGAGTAAGTGCAGGAGCTGCGGGTAGGAAGTCTGTCAGCGGACTGTTTCCCAGATTTCTTCACAGACAGCATAGGTTGGTTTTCCAGGCAAACCTGTTCCTCTCTTGGCAGAGTGGTGTTTTATGGAGTTCTAGCCCAGGATGTACACACTCCCCCTCTATTCAGCCAGAGCAGCATCACACACTTTGGTGTCTGGACGAGAGTCCCGGAGGCAGACCATCTACCTGCGGGGTTTGTGGAGGGCATCCCATGAGCCAAGACCCCAGAGCCACTCCTCGGGCTGACCCAGTGGCGACACGGGAGCAGAGGACTGGCCACAGAGGGTCTCAGGCTTCGACTTCCAGGCTAGGCCACAGAGAGCTGCGGTTGGGCCTTTTCTGTTTTCAGGTTGTGGATGAGCGGGCAGGGAGAGCAGTTGGGGTGACGGTGACCATGAGCACACAGGGGACAGGGCAGGGGCCCTGCTGACGGAGAGCCTCATCCAAGGCGCTCTGACCGTGAGTTTGGTGTCCCCCACAGAGTCAGCCACAACAACAAGGTGAATCTCATGACCAGTGAGAACCTTTCCATCTGCTTCTGGCCCACCTTGATGAGACCCGACTTCAGCACCATGGACGCCCTCACGGCCACGCGGACCTACCAGACAATCATTGAGCTCTTCATCCAGCAGTGCCCCTTCTTCTTCCACAATCGGCCCATCAGTGAGCCTCCTGGTGCCACGCCCAGCTCCCCCTCTGCCGTGGCTTCCACCGTCCCCTTCCTCACCTCCACACCTGTCACGAGTCAGCCATCACCCCCCCAGTCCCCTCCGCCCACCCCCCAGTCCCCCATGCAGGCCTTGCTCCCCTCCCAGCTTCAAGCAGAACACACGCTATGAGCCACCAAGGCCTGGGGCAAAAGGAGACCTTCTCTCTTCCACGGGGTGGCGTTTGGCCTTGAACAAAACCAGGTCCACTGGGATAGGGGTGGGGAGAGTGTCCCCTCTCCCCTGTTACCTTCTCAAGACCTCAGCGCCAGCACCAGCCCCAGTCTACCGTGGGCTGGGCTGTCAGGCCCCCTGAGCCCAGCGCTGCATACCTGGAGCTGTTCGCAGCCGCCAGGGGGCGCCCTGCCCTTTGACTTGGACCCTTTTGAGGCCTGCACTGGCCAGGCAGTGGCCCCCGTGGCCCTCGGCACGCTCAATGCTCCCAGACCACCTCCCCCACCTGCCCCCGCATACCAGCCTCGGGGCATCCACCGCTGCTTGGACAGAGCCCTGGCCTCTGCCAACGGGAGGAGGCTCCGAGATTTGGGCCGCCCCGGGGTGGGGCCGGCAGCCCCCGCAGAGAACAATTCCCATCCGTCTCATCTGTCTCTTCCCACCTTCCATATCGGCACCCCCACCCCTGTTACGTGAGCCCCTGTCCAGTAGCCTCCCCGGGAACACACAGGCCACAGCTCTGTCAACCCAAGGTACAGTGCTGGGGGTGCTGGCCCGGCAGGTCAGAACAGGGAGGGTGGCTGTGTGCCGGGACCAGGAGTGTGTGGCTTCCCCTCTGCTTCCCACACGCCCCCTCCCACTTCCCAGGCTTTGGGGATACAGTCCCTGTAAAACAGAACACTGGAAGAAACGTGGAAAAAAATCCCCAGTAACTTACAAAAGAAAGAGGAAGACACTACAGACCTCAGGATTGACCCCTCCTCCCACCTCTCAGAGAAGCAAGCAGGTGGTCACAGCGAAACCAGGATGCCCAAGGGTGGTGGCCAGAGAAGCTGTGGGGGTCCCGCTTACAGCCTGTCACCAGATCCCCTTTCCCCAAGAAGACAGTTTAAGCCCTTGGTGGGAAGAGCTTGGGAGACCAGCCTGGATCCTGGTCTGCTTTGGAAGACACTACAGTGCTGTGGGAACACTATTCTTGTGTGCGTCTGGGTGTGTGCGGGTGTACGCGTGCGTGTGTGAGTGCTTGTGCACGTGGGGGTATGCCTTTTCGAGAGGGCACAGCTGGGGGGACGCTGGGTGTACCTGGCGTTTGGTTTAGTGTGTTTGCTGTTGGAGTGGAGTCATTTTCATCCTGGGCTGCAGACCACCGCCGGCCCAGCGGTGTTCATGGGAAGTGGGCGATGTGTGGAGAAGTGTGGTCGGCCCGTTCCTGCACGGGGACAACCTTTGTGCTCCCAGGACTAGGAGGGCCTGGAGGGACAAAAGTCACAATCTGTCAGAGTCACGGGCGTGCCGTGCCTGCCTGTCACACACAGCCTGTGGCCCTCCCTAGCCCTTCCTGGGAAATGGCCTTTGCCTCGGCTTCCTGGCCTTCCCACTGATCCCTGGAGAACCCTTCGCATGCCCCACCTTTTGTCCCCCAAACGCAGCGATCCTGCTAAGGCTGCTGCAGATACTGGCTGCCCTCCCACTCCTTGTGGCCGGGCCGTGGCCTCTGCGACCGGGAAGCCTGACACGGAGGCGCCGTGGGCTTCGGGGCCCTGCAGGCCACGCAGCCTCCAGGTCTCTTTGCACTTTAAGAAGCAACGCCTGTGGTAGGTTCGACAATGCCCTGGGTCCCCTCAGCCGGGTGGCCTGACAGCTGCCTCGCTCGGGACAGCCTCGAGCCCCAGACCCTGGCTGTCGGCTGTTGGAGGGTCGGGTAGGCCCTGCGCTCGCTGACTTCTTCCTCTGGATAAGCTGGATACCTTACTGTTAATAGTTCTTGTTCGGCAAGATAAGGTGCTTGGAAAACTGTCCCTGCAAGTTTTACCACCTCTTTTTAAGAACACTAGTCAAAAAACAAACCTAAGGTACATGAATGTTGATGTAAATGTTGGGTGAGGGATCTCTTCTCTGGTGGCTCTGTGCCCGATGCTCGAGGTCAGGGTTGGCAGGAAGGTGACGGGTGGGGTTGTGACTGGTTGGCAGACCCGCGGCCCTGGCTCTCCAGCCCCCTCTGCTCGGAGTCCCGGGCAGGTGAGGAAATCACTCCATTGAACGAATCTCCCTTTTTCTAGATCATGCTCACCTACCCACTCCGAGGCAGCCCCTCAGGTATTGGGTGGAGGTGGTCTGGGACCACCATCCCTTGTGTGAACTGAAAAGTAGCCCGGTCCCCCTCCCATCACCCCACCCACCCACCCCCGTGAGCAGTTTCCTCCACCGCCTCCTTTGCCACCCCCCACCACCACCTGCATGCCTGGGCTGTGCCCCAGGAACTGGCCAAAGCCCCTAAGCTCCCCCCATCCCTGAGACTGTACAGACGTACAGATAGGTGGTGACTTTTCTGGGAGTGTGGGCAGGGGCGGCTTACCAACAAGGGACAGCGGCTTTGTGTCCTTGCCCTGGTGGAAGTGGCGGGAGCCAGGCATCTCTGGGGTAGCCTCTGGGCCAACAGCATCCCCTGCCAGCCAGCTCGGGGAGCCGCAGGAGCCCCTTCACCTGGCTGTGCCCGGTGTCCTGCTGGGGCTTAAAGGATGCACAGGAGGGACCTGGTGGCTCATGCACCGAAAGAGCCACCGGGGGCAGGAAGCGCCGGGGGTTCCTCTTGTTTCCATTTCTTCTGTCAGGTCTAGCTTCTAGTTTTCTGTTTCTCCAGACTGACTAGGACTGGGGGTTTCTCTGTCATTCTGGGTTGGCGTTGCCCTGCGTGGTAGCTGGGGGCCCTGGGCCTGGGGTTCGCACCCAGACCGAATGGGCACTTGGACGGGAGCCACAGAGGCAAGCCGGGGCGTGTGTTGGGACGTGCTGCCGTAAATGAAGTGCTACCCACCCCTCGAGTCCATCCAGCGTGTGAAGCTCCGAAGAGTGCTTTCGCGATGATTCTCCCGAGAGCAGCCCCGCGGGCCTGGAATCGAGGGAAGGGCAGGCATTAGTCAGCCTTGGCCAGAATGGGGGAGCAGGTCAGCAGAGGTGACGGGACTAAATAGCGGTTTGGTTTGCCCGGGAGCTCTCTCCCTGGCCCATGTTCCACATCCACAAGAGAATAGTTGCCGTGTTCGGTGGAAGTGAACAGCCCTCGGTTGTGAGCGGAAGGCTGATTCTGGCTCTGACACGGACGCTTCCGTGGAGGAGGGGGTCCAAGGTTGAGCGGCATGCCTTGTGAATGCGCCCTGAATTCTTGGCTGTGTTGCGTATTGGGGATCACACACGGCACATTTATTCCTGCGCTCCGTCACGTCGTTCTTCCCATCACTTGACGTTCTGGAGTGCTGAGGAACAGTACTGTTCCCTGTGTTCTACACCCTACCCTCCTGCCACCTTGGTCTTCCTGCCGCGAGGCAGGAAGCGTGCTGCCAGGTGTGATTCTTCTAGCAGAATTGGTTGGGCTCTGCCAGGTGGACAGAGGGCGACATCATAGGAGCAGCGTGCTGGGCAGGAGGGGCCTGGAGCGCGCACCTGCCCCTGGCCTTGCGCTAGGGCCCTGGTCCCCTGGTCTCGGGGGGAGGCCTGGAGGGCGGTCCATCCTCAGCCCCGAAACTTGAAAAGCATGCTACGTTGGTGAAAACCCTGTCCCTCTGGGCCCCCTTCCCCTTCCTGCAAGGACAGCCACGCTGCTTTGGCGTTTCCGAGAAAGGAGCGGACACCGTCTCGCTGCCACTGAGAGCACCGCCCAGCCGCCGTGTGGCCAAAAGAAGGAGGCCCCAGGGGCTTGGGCTCCTTTCTGGGGGCCGCCCCGCGGACGGGGACAGCCGGCACTGCACTCGCTCCCGGGCCTCGCCGACTCCGCAGATGGTGGACGAGGAGTCGCCCTCCTGTTGCTTGGCAGGTTCAAGCCACTCGTCTGCGCTTAGGTGAAAGGACAAGGACGGACCGAGTCACGCCTGGGACCTGCTGGCGAGGGGGGGCAGAGTGAGGGGAAAGGCCATTCTCTCTCAAGGTGGCGGGGCCGCGGCCGGGGAGGGTCCTTCCCTCCTGGGGAGCCGGCCCCGCGCTCACGGCAGTCAGGTTACACTTTCATGTAGTCGAGACAGGGCCTAAGTTATTGTTTGCATTAAAAAGAATCCTGTTCCCTGTGTATATAAAAAAAGAAAAAAAGGAAATGTCTGGATTGTATGGGAATAAAACTTGTTTGAAAATTTGGAATAGTGCTGCTGCCAGCTTATTTTTCTGGTACTTGTATTTTCACATGTTAAATGATCTTTATATATGTTGAATTAACAAATATTTTGAGTTTCCTGAGAAAAAAAGCATATTAATGGTATTGAAATGTGTTAGTAGTCTGGCCGTGTGCCTAAATTTCTGTTTTGCAGCAAAAGTGGAGAACTGTATGTAAAGAAAGTATAACAATTATTTCTTTGTATTTTAGGGGCTTTAACCAGGACATCCTCTAGTTGGTGTTAGGAATGTTTGCTTAATTTCCAGAGCTTTTTTTTTTTTAAACACGTTGTGGGTTTTTTGAGGCTCCAACCTGATTAGTGCATGGTCAGCCATCAACTACGGCTGAGGCATCTCTGACTGAGGTGGTTTTGTTTGGTTTTGTTTTTTAAAATCATGTATTTGCTACAAAGTATTGTACTCGTCTCAATGGGAATGGTGTAAAAAACTGAAAAGGCCTTATGTGATATGTATCATAGTTAATAAATCAATCTTGTAAAAAACCAAACCTGAGAGAGATGAAGGTGGCCCCTCCTGCCAGGGCCCTGAGCGCCCTTCCCGCAGCGGACGCGGCCTCAGGCCCTGTGGGGACCCCAGCTCCTCCTCAGAAGCCGCAGCCAAGGCCCAGCATGCGGGAGGAGGCCGTCCTCTGGCCACAGGGCACGGGGATCCCAGAGCACCCCCAGGAGAAGGCGTTTGTGGGGGGGGACAGCTCAGGTTCTTTAGCCAAAGCCCAACACTCAGACCCCCGTGGCCACAGGCCCCCAGTAGGGGACACCAAAGTCAGCAGCCCCTGCCCTGCCCTTTCAGCCCCTCCCAACCCCGGGGGTCTGGGGCCGCGCTAGCCGTGCAGGGGGCTTGCTGCCTGGGTGGCCCCGGAGTGTTAGCGTCTGTTAAGCGCCTCCAGGGATGGCTGGCTCCCTAGGTGCGCGTGCACCGTGCCCCTGCCGTCCCCGGTGCCTCCGTTCTGGCACAGGCCCTCATTCCAGCTCACTGCACGCTGACGGGCAACCCCACACCCTGAACGGCCACCCTGCCCTCAGCCTTGCCCCTTGCCATCCATCTTCTTCAGACCCCAAAGTTACTCCAGAAGGAAGACCTAGCTCCGCATTACCTATGGCAGAAGCAAGAACTCGTCAACGTACAAGACACCCCCCCCTTCCTGTGTCCGTGGCAGACGTGGCTTGTGGACCAGGACACCCGCGGAGCTCGGGCCCCACAGCCCTCGCGCCAGGCAGCCGCCGCCCATCGGCAGAGCTCCGGAGCCGGCTGGGTGCTCCGTCAGCCAGGTGCCCACGGGGAAGTGGGCGCTCTGACAGCCACGCTGGGAGCCCTCACTCTGGATCCCACCCGCCCCTC